TTGGGGGGGGGGGGGGAACCCTGAACCATATACCTATAAAAGTCATAGAAACTAAAGCCTCGCCTTTCAGCTTTTAAATTACCTTCCATTAATTTTTTTTTTTTCTTTAAGGTGCAAACTTAAGCTCTAAAGCAATACACAAGGTACACAGGTCTTTGCAGAATGATTGCAGAGGGTGCTTGCTACAGATTATCTGTGTTGCTTGGGCATGTTTCCCTTCCATGTTTCTGCTACAAAGGTAAGGAGGTAGCCAGAGCTCTGTTGGTCTATCTCCTCCTGCAGAAACTGATATTGTAGCTGGGCTGGGCTCTGCGTGCTCAGATTTAGTTCCTGCATTTACCATGGGAGCTTTCTGTGAAAATGGTGTTCCTTTACGGGTGTGTTATTCCCCTGGTTGCTCAGGTTGGTTGCACGCAGATTTGACAAGTACACCTAGTTGTAGGGCTGGAGGAAGCATGCAGAGTGGCTGTTGGAATTTTGGCAGGTGGGCTGGAAAGGACTGCTAGTAGCCCTGGAAGTTTCTGCAAGATGTCATATTAAGCAGGACTCAACTTTCCAGGGTGCTGGAGATCTGTTACCTTGACATGCCCGAGTCGCATCACCATGTGAAACATGCACAGGTAATTGCAGCACTACTACCAAAATGGGTGCAACTGAACTCTCCAGGCTCATACTTCCAAAAGGGCTTATATCAGTTCTTCAGAGGAAGTAAGTGCACATCAGTAACAGCCCTTTCTTTTGGGGTATGTTACATCTCTGTCGGGACTGATGCTTCTTGTGACTGTGCTGTGTAACAGTGATTGCTGCACACTGCAAACATGATTTGCCTTGCTAGCAAATCTTTTTAGGATCAAGCTGTAAGCCCATATGGAGCTCTTTATATGGATTATAGCTTGTGGCAATACACTGCACTTTCACAGTATCTCTGCAGCGTCAACACTCCAGTCTGTCAACACTGCAGATATAGCTCCAGTGATGCGGAGAATCCCACCCAAACAGGAGAAATCAGGTGTAGTACAGACTTGTAGACCATGTTTTATTCTCTAGCTAACTGGATCCCAGCCTTTGCTGTCCCATAGGCAAAATACCAAGTGCAAGAAACCCCATTCTTTGCTCTGTGTCAACACGGCCCATGATGATGTTTTACAAGCTACATGTTTCTTCTGAGTGGTCCATGAGCAAGGGCTCACAGCTCCAGTTGTCTCACCAGTGCAAATAAAAGGCATGATCTTTGCTTTAATAGTCTCTTCCCTACAGGCATGTATAAACACTGTATTTAGTTATCTAGCTACACTGTGTGACTCAAATGCTGAGCTAACAGGGTTTTGGAAATTTTCAGTAAAGCATTACCACATATCTCTTGCTCGGCCTGTCATCAGAGGCCAACAGCACCTTGGCTGATACTGAGCAGTCAAGAGGTATGAAGGATCCAAATTCCTGGAACTGATTTTAGACCAAAAAAAGTTTTTCCTTTCCTGTGAGGGCCATCCTCACTGTGCTGTTCAAAGTGAATCTCTTCATAACCAGGCTAGAATTAATTTCTCCCATTTAATGGAAGTCTATCTGCTCACGGACAGGGTGTGCCTGTAGCAGCTGGGTTGTGTCTGAATCACTAAATCTTTTACAAATTACAACATCAGGACTGCTGCCTTGGGTGAGCCCCAAGTTCCATCCAAGTCATTGCTTAAATACAAGGGAAAGACCAGGAGAGCAAGCAAGTCCCTAGTGTGTGTCTCTGTGTGGTGGTGGCCAAGGGACTGCCTGTAACAGGAGCTGCATTCCCGCTGTTGTTACTCAGGGCATTGGGAATGCAGCTCCTGATATACAGATGACATCAATGAACTCCCTTCCTGGAAGTTGCTTACTTGCCTGTTGGAATTGCTGCAGGCTTTCTGTTTTCAGAACCACCTGTGGCAATAAGCTCTGTCTTTAAATGATGGCCTCTGAATAATTTTATGGGTGTCCTGAGGAAACTGCAAGATTTGGTAGTGTGTGTTAGTTCAGTTTTGCTGGGAAGGTCAGTGGTGGGGAGATCACTACTGACAACTGTTGCTCTTCTAGCTAGCATCCTTCTGCAAGCCAGTCCCAAGGGCTTCACAGCAAGATCCTGCTTGTCCTAAAACATTCCTGAAGGAACAGGGCATGACAGGCAATTCCTGTTCCAGAGAACTATTCGTCACAAGCTCAACATTTTTACCTGAAGCAGCCTTTGATGGGGTGGTATGGAAAGGTTTCAGATGATATTCAGCTTAGTATCAGCACTGTTGGTTCCAAAGAGGCTGAAAAAACTCCCGGCACTCACATGAGAGCCCTGATAATTGCTGCTGTTGCAGTTTACCTTCAGATGTTACCCAGCACCTTTTCAGCTAAGCTAACTCAACCGATGCCCACCCCTCTGATGGTGCAGTGGTTGCAAGAACATGTCTTTCCCCAGCTTAGGCACTTGCTGGCTGTAGGATGGGTGTGTGGGGGGCTGTGCTTTTAAAATGGATATCCAAAATTATATGACTTAGAAATTTGCTCTCCAGAAGGCCTTATTTTTTCCCAAATCATGCTGGCCATACCATTTACAGTACAGCTTCATAAAATGTAGCTGAACAAACAAAAGGTCAAAGAGTGGCAGCATGAAGGAATGGGGGTGGGAACAAAGAGCTGTGAGGCACAGGGACATAAACCAGCTTTGCCAATGGAAGACCATGCCTCATTTCTCCAGTCACAGACATCAATTACCTTCGTTTTATGCATTTTATGTTTTGTTTTGTTTTAACCATGACAATTACTTTGTTGCATTAAAATAAAATCACTGCCATCATCAAAGAGTGATAGAAAACCTGTGACACAGGGAACTGGAACTCTGTTATTAAATATACCTTGATACACACATGTGGTTTTAGGTACTTAGACACTTATATAGTATTAAGTTTAGAAATGATGGTACCTCTATGTTTTAGCCAGTCCCAGTATTAATACTGCTGGGTAGGGGAAATTCTTAAGGTGGGTGGGAGTTACCTTGTCCTTTGACTCTAGATATCTGGCATTGCCAAGAGTCATGAAGCTCATCCACTAACAACACAGAAAATTCTCTGTTTATAGTTTCAGAGTCAAATCAGTAACAACAATGGCATAGAGTTGCTATGACTATTTATGCTCCATCTGGATTTTATACTGCAATGCTCTATTACAGTGGAAAAATGCTACAGAAAAAAAACACATAATCCATCTTTAAAAATATTTTATTATTTGCAAAATCGAATGCACTGTTTGGTTTTCTTGAGGGGAGGCACAGAAAGATACAGATTAGAACGAAGGGCTTGTTTATAATTTTGATGGTTATGAAATCACCTTGCCAGCCTTTCTGCAAGCCACTTGTCACATCTCTCTTCATGAGACACTTCATCAGTTCTGTACTTGTGGGTGACATACAGAACTGGTGGTCTAACCATCAGATGGATGCCTGGCATGTGACAGTAACTTCTCCAACTTCAGTGGAAGGTATGTGACCAGCAGCTCTCCATACAGCTCATGGCTTCATGCGTTATTTACATGCAACTGTAAAGTGATATGTGTAAATGAAAGCCCCAAAGGAATCTGTGCCTCCTCCAAGACGAGTTACAAGATCCATAATTTAGAAGATCCAGGGGATAATCTAGGTAATCAGATCTTGGGTCTTGCTATAAGGAAGCTTGGTTGCCTGTGCCAACAAAGAAGGGGGGAGGTGTGCATGTGTAAGGGCATACGTATGAAGGACTGTATGCAGATATGTGAGCAGACAGGCATCTGCGTGTCTGTGCCTGTTTGCGGGCCCATATTTGGATGACAAAACAGTTTCTAGCTACATGATGCCCCAAAGTTGAAGAGCACATGAACAACAAAGGGAGAGATGAGAATAAGATTTGATTCCTGGGTGCCCCAGTACCCCACATCCACAGTGCTTAGGAGTGATAGAGATGGTGACCACCAGTGGTGGGGAAAGGAGCCCCCATGGTGGTCGAGTGGTGAAAGTTACAGCCATCACCTGTCTTTGTGCCTGGATAATCCACACTGCCAGGACAGCTGTGGTAAAAGTCTACTTTGTGCTGGGCAATGAAGCCCACTGTCTGCTGGACGCTGCAGGTGCCCCCACCTTTGCCAAAGACTCCTCCATCCTCGCTGGTCACGATCGTGTAAGCGTTCTGCCCGGCTCCGTAGTGCTGACGGGGAGGAGGCATAGCTTGGATGTTGCTGGCTGTGGTGATCGGGTAACCCTGGTGGAATTTGGGGTGCACATCCAGGTAAGTACTTGGCTGGAAGCCACTCTGAAAGGGAAAGACAAGAGAGTCAGAAAACATAAGCTTCTCCACGGGTGTCCAGAGGCCTGACATGTAGTGGGGCTCTGTGCCTTCACAGTTCATGTCTCTTGAGCAGCAGCAGTGGCATGGGAGGACAAGAACAACCATATCCATCCCCATAGCTCAGGGATGAAGACACAGTAGTGTGTGTGTGTATATATATATATATATATATATGTATGTATGAGGAAAACAGCTTTTCCCTGGAAGCATTTCCAGGAGAGGAAAACAAGCATTGCAGAGGAGGGCAATGAAGCTGGTGAAGGACCTGGAGAATAAATTCTGTGAGGAGTGATTGAAGGAGCTGGGACTGTTTAGTTTGAGGAAGAGAAGGCTGAGGGGAGACCTCATCACTCTCTGCAGCTCCCTGAAAGGACATTGCAGAGAGGCTGGGGCTGGGCTCTGCTCACAGGGGATCAGTGACAGAACAAGAGGGAATGGCTTTAAACTGCAATAGGGAAGGGTCAGACTGGACATTAGGGAAAATTTTTTCACAGAAAGAGTGGTCAGAGCGTGGAATAGGCTGCCCAGGGAGGGTGTGGAGTCCCCATCCCTGGGTGTGTTTAAGGGTCGTTTGGATGAGCTGTTGGGGGATGTGGTGTAGGGGAGAACTTTGTAGAGTCGGGCTGCGGGTTGGACTCGATGATCCAACCTGATGATTCTGTGATTTCAGTGGTATCATCAGCACATTGCCAGGCTACCTACAGAACATGGAGAGTCTTACCAAGTCTGCGTCTCTGAGCTGAACAAATCAGAAGGCAGGGCACTCTGATACCTGTATGTTTAAGTTGTACCCATGGAGGAAATACATCCAAGACTTATCTGCCTAGACAGAAGGCCCATGCTAAGCCATGTGCTGTGTTCTTACTTGCGTGAGGCACTGAGCCCGTTCAGTCCATAGGCTATGCTTCTGGCACCTTTTCAGCTTCATCCTCCGGTTCTGGAACCAAGTCTTCACCTGGTTGGGGAAGGGAGAGCAGAGAAAACATCAGCAAAGGACAGCAAGTGTTATCAGAATTGCAAGCAGGAAGAAGCAGGGGGAGAGTCACCAGATGGCATAGATATATTGGGCAGCAGCAGATAAAGGCCCTTAAGAGCTCCCTGGGGTTGTTGCCAAGGGATGTCTGTCTAGCAGCCTCAGCAGGTGGCTAGTGCATCTGCATGGTAGGGGGAGGGGGCGGCATTATGTCCACGGGACAGTTATAGCTGTGACAAACTGACTCATTTCCATCATGGAGATGAATAACTGGTGCAAATCAGGCCCACTCGGGGCTCTACAAGCCCCCTGTGCTACAGGCAAACCTCTAAGACGCTGCTTCTGCACGCTCGTGAGTGGGGAAGGGGGAGGCTTGCTCTTTGAACCCAGCAGTTCCCAAATTCAAAGCTCCTTGCTAGGATGAATTCCAGAGCTGTTTGCCCCCAGGGCTGTGTCTGCCCTATGACAGCAGCCTCTGCAGGGATGTGGACTGAAGGAAAGGGCAGATTGTCCCACTTGCTTTGTTCCTGACACAACCAGTTCAGTGTATGCAAGCATGTGTGTGTACCTAAAATGCATTTAAAACTTTTTTTAGTCCTGGGGCATCCAGCCCGCTGTGCCCAGCTCTGAGATCCAAATTCCAGGCAGGTTTTGGACTTGCCCCCTGTGCTTTCGGAAGGCATCATTTGGCCATCACCAGTTCACTACTCACAACCTGCCTGGAGATCAGCAGAGGCCCTGAGGGGCTGCAATGGATGGACCCCGCAGCACCCAGATGGAGGGGGGAGCACATGTCAAGCAGTCGGGCAGTGCTCAGTGGGGGACGTTATTAGATATTGGACAAGATCGGGCCTAGGAAACATGAGCAATAGCTTTCAGCAGCCCTGGGATTCAGGGAACTGAAGCACGCCAGGTTTTCTGTGAAGTTCACCAGCACAGAGGTAGAGGCTGTCTGAGGCAAACAACATATTCATCACTGTGTTTCTACTACAAAGTGTTGGCATTCTACTACATTCTACTAAGAGTGTTGGCAACAGTACCCTTAACTGACCCCTCACTGGGGAGGCCCCAGTGAGGTGCCACTGACCCTCCTCTCCCTGAGAAGTGCCTCTGATCTCCGGGTGTGAATAGGCAGGGTAGCGACTGCTAGCTGGCACCTTTGCTTCTACTCTCTGCTGGGGACTCATCCTTCCATCCTGTCACTGCCTTATGTGACCATTCAGCCGCCGTGTGACATATACACCATGGGTCAAAGTTTCCATGTTTACCTGCTTGTAGGTGAGCCCCAGGAAAACAGACATCTCCCGGATCTGCTGGGGGCTGAGGTACTTCTGGCTCTGGAATCGCTGGTGCAGGATTTGCAGCTGGTCCTTGGAGAAAGCTGTGCGGCTCTTGGCCTTCTTCACTGCCTCCATGACATCTTCTCCACCCTTCTGAGACTTAGCTTCCCGCTGTGGCGACGAGGATGCCGAATGTGGACTGGTGGCTGAATCTGGTGTGAATTGGCTGAAATTCCCAGAACTGGATGAAGCTGGGGATACTTCTAGAAATAAGACAGTGGGAAAAGGTATACGAGACATCACGCACAGTTATAGGGGTATGAGCGTGCTCCTTGCCTGTTGCAGAGCTACTTGCCCATCAGACAGGAGCTCTCTTGAAGCAAAGGCCTGTGTCACCACTCTTCCTTCATGGATCCGTTAGCACAGACAAGCCCACTGACAGCAAGCAGCATCCCAGCTCAGCCCTCTGGGATTGCCTGTGGCTCCCTTTCACCAGGTGGAAAAGCCAGGGCAGAGAGGGGAGGATGGTGCATGCTGGCTCACAGTGTCACTATCCTCCTCAAAAAGGCCCCAGTAATATTTTAGTCTCAGTGTGGTGTAAAAAGGCCTAGTCATGACTTGCAAGCATAGCTTTGGGTTGGTGACTGAGCTGTGCAAAAATGCCTGCCAAGCCATCTCAAGACATTTGATAGACAATGGCAAAGCAACCTCTGACCAGGGTGTATGGTGAGGCAGAGCAGTCAGTGCTTACAAGGATGGGGCAGCAAGTGGAGAGCATCAGCCAGGCCTTAGATATTGGCTCACTCCTGTTTGCCTGTGGCTCCCACCACAGACCATCCCACTGCTGGAAACACTGGTATAGATAGAGGGACCTATTTGGCTGAGGGGTGTTCTGGTGAGAGAAGAACAAAGAGAAATTTGACATGGAAACAAGGAGGAATAGAGGAAAGGTGTGTGGGACAGGTGAGAAGAGATAGTAACCCTGTACCAGGGACATGGGGGACAAAATTCAAAAGTGCAGAAGAAGGTGTCCAAGCCCGTTCTCATGTGTCCTGGTACATGTCTTAAGGGATTTCTGTTGAGGACAAAGCTCTAAATGAAAAACTTCCTAAACAATCTGGGCTGCTAGGCCAGACAAAAGCCGACAAGATGCAAAGTCATTCAGGCTGCCTGAATAGGAAAATGCTAACAAGAGAGATTACCCCAGAACCTTTTTGTCAGGTGCCTGGCTGCTGGGGTCTGTGAAAGTCTGAGATCTTCTCGGGCCAGCCCTGACTTAAGGGCTGCGATGCCAGTTTGCCCCCTTCCCCATAACTGCAATGATAAATCTGTTCATCCCTCCTTCCTCCAACTACTCCTCTGCAAATCTTCCTGCGTGGGCCATCCCCCTTCTTCTCTTCTGGACATTTCAGGGGAGAGGGTGTGCAGTGAATGGGGCAGTGCCATTTTCAGTACATACCTTCTGAGTACTGACCTCAACCAATAGCTCCTGATCTCCTTCCTAGTCACCCTGAGAGCTGTGACCCTGCAGCCCACTGAGTCACCCAACACAAAGTACTGATGCCCTCCTGAGGAATGGGCTCCCCGTCCACTCTGCCAAACCCCTCCTTCTTCTGTCCTACGCTGAGAGGATACTAAGCAGTTACTCAAAAGGTTGAGGTGTTTCTGGGCGTCAGAAAGGTGGCCGTTTCTGCAGTACCTTCTCCCTTGTTACCCTCCTGAGAGAGGCATACCTGTCTTTGTGGTGCCCACCACTCTAGGGTTGCCTGCCCTTACAGTCCTGCTCGTGGCAATTTCCTATCCCTAGGGGATGATAACTGCTCAGAGTACGGGCTGTGTGAAGAGGGAAGTGTTGTACTGGGGCAGGTTTCTGGTGCTGGGAAGCAGGGCCATGGGGATTCCAAAGGGATTCTGCCTACAAGGGGCTATCAACAGAAGAGGTGCAAGGGCCTGAGGTCTTATGTGCATGGAGGTAGACTGAAAAGCCTGAGAGGAAGCTGAACATCTGTGACCTGGATCCACGGGAAGATAAAATTTCATGTGGGACCACAGGATGCTTGGCTCCTGCAGGCTGTGCAGTAAAAACCTTATAGGTAGGAAATGAGCATGCTGAGAATGTGGGCTTGGAAAACAGGAAAAGTCTTCTGTTAGACAGGAACCACAGCACGGCATCTAGAGCTAAAGCTCCTCCACCTTCCTCCTCGGCCTGTCATCCCAAACCCTCATGTAATTTACCACCTGCAGCTCGAGCTCAAGACAAAGGCAGCCCCTCTTCCATGAGAGGAGAGTGAAGAGGAAGCAAGAAACACAAACAGCAGTGCAACAGACATAAATACGAAAACCTAAGACAAACCTGCTCCCACAGACCCTTGACACCTGTAGGCCTCTGCTTCCACAACTGGGCTCTCTCGTAGAGAGACGCCCCAGAGGAGAGCCTTTGAAGACGG